TCCCAGCTCCCAGCACTCGCGAGGCTGAGGCAGGAGGATCGCTGTGAGTTCGAGACCAGCCTGGGCTGCATAGTGAGTTCCAGGTCAGTCTCAACTACATAGCGAGACCCTGTCTCAAAAAACAAAAAAACAAAAAACAAACAAAAAAACCTAAAAGAAATCCTTCAAGCAGATAAAACATGATACCAGACAGAACACAGACCTACAAAAGAAGAGTCCCCAGTACAGTAATTACAAGAATACACAGCTTGTATTACTTTACTCTTTAAAGATAAGTTTTAAACAAAATATATATAACTATATGTTGTGAAAAAAAGTAAAATATGACCCCAATAAGAGTCTAAAAAGAGAAATTAGAAGTACACTACTGTAAGCTTCTTATATGTGAAATGGTATATAGTATCAGTTGAAGGTTTATCATGATATTTCAAAGGTATACACTACAAATCCTAAAACAATAAAATAACAAAATGATTAACCAATGAAGGGGGAAAAAGGTAATCACAGAAAAGAATCCAAAAGAAGGTTGAAAAAGAAAAATAAAGACCAAGTCAGACAAACAGAAAATAAAAAGCAAGATATATAATTAAATCATATGATGTCAATAATGACATCACATAAATTGTCTAAACATACAATTAAAAGGCAGAGATTGTCAAATTGGTTAAAAAAGTAAGACCCAATCACATGCTGTATACAAGAAAAGTGCTTTAAAGACACAGATGAGATTTACGTAAAACAAGAGAAAAACATATGCTAATAGGAAGCTAGAGAAACTATATTAAAATTAGACAAAGTAGATTTCAGACCAAAAAATATTACCAGGAATAAACAAGTTCACTTAATAATGATAAAGAAGTCAATTAAATTAACGTATACATCTAAAAATATAGCTTAAGATATATGAAATAAAAATAAAACAGCAAGGACAAATAGACAAACCCAAGATCCATTATATATTTAATACCCCCATCTTAATGATTGATAGAATCAACCAACAATGTCATAGTAGACTTGAACAGCAGTATTAGTCAATTTGGCCCAATGGGCATCTAAAAATAATCTTGCCAAAAAAGAAAAGAATATAAATTCTTTTTCAAGTACACATAGAAAATGTATCAAAATAAACCATTCTCTGGGCCACAAAATTAGCATCAGTAAATTTCAAAGGATTCAAGAAATACAAAGTATATTCTGGGACTACAAAATAATTCAGTTAGAAAGCATTAACAAACTAAACAAATAAATAAATAATTTAAAAAGCATTAACAGAAAGATCTGTGGAAACCTTGCAATATTTGAAAAATAAGTTACATACTTCAAAGTTATCAATGGATCAAAGAAGAAAAGGAAAATCTGTAAGCATTTTTAACTGAATGAAAATGAAAAAACAAAACATTAGACACAATGGGGGTGTCATATTGGGAGATGTCAATAAAGCAATTTTGAGGGGAAATGTAGCATGTGACACCTGTATTAGAAAATTAAAGTCTCAAAACAGTGTCCTTAAGAAAGTACAAAACCAAAGCCTAAGAAAATAAGTAATACTGATGATCAAAGCAGAAATCAACACTAGAGAATATCCATAAAACCAGAACCTGGTTCACTGAGAAATCAATAAAATTAACAAATATCTAGGAAAACAGGAAAACCAGAAGGGACACAAATTACCAATATAGGGATTGACAGAGGTACACTTGATCTTAGCCAAAAGGCTGAGAAGCGATTGATGGAGGTAGGTAGCATCTCTAAAGGTCTACAGATATCAAAAGAAAAATAATAGGATACTATAAACACTTTTAAGCCAATAAATTCAGCAATTTATGAAAAACTGTGCAGATTCCTTAAAAGGCCTAACTAGGAAAATCTCAGGTACTGAAGAAGCTGAGGACAGGCAAACTGCAAGCTCCAGGCTAGCCTGGGAAATTTATTAAGACCCTGTCTCAAAATAAAACAAAAAGAACCAGAAGCACATCTCAGTGGTAAAACATTTGCCTACCATGCCCAAGGCCCTGTGTTTAATTCCCAGTAACACACACACACACACACACACACACACACACACACACAAATCAAAGTATTTTAACATATTAAAAATGAAGGAAAAACCTGAAATTAATCTCAATAGACATAGAGAAAGCATTTGACAAAAATCCAACAACTATTTAAGATTAACACACAAACAAAATACAAACCTCTCAGGACTAGATGGCTTCTATGAAAAGCTTACAACTGACACCACACTACCATACCTAATGGTGAAATACTGAAGGCTTCCCCCTAAGATTAGGAATGACACAAAGATGTCTGTTCTTACCACTTCTATTCAAAATTATACCAGTTTCTAGCTAGTGTACCAGGTGGCAGAAATAAACATGAGGTAAACCAAGGAAAGATTAGGAGAAACAAGTAATTAATTCTGGACCAAACAAAACCCTAAGAAAAGGGAACCATGAGCAAACAAAGAAAGGCAATCACCAGGAGAACTGACCCCTACAATACATACAAGTTATGCAGGCAAACACATCAGCTTCCTACCAAAGTAAATAATTCGGCAATGAGATACTAATGAGGCTCAAAAGGCAAATAACTCACTGAAATGAACATTTTCAAATACTGGTTTTGTTAATTTCAACAAAGCAGTCTGCGAAGCATGAATGTCTTCCCTGAAGTGGATAGAAAACTAGCATTTTTTAAAAGCTATTGTTATTCTCTTAGTTGGGTAATAAAATCTTAATCTTATTTTTTTCATAAAATAAAAAAGTCTAGTATGAAAAAACCTTTAACACTTCTTTTCATAACTCATCTGCTATTTCATTAATGTTAAAACAAACAGGAATGTAGCTTCAAACGCTATAAAATCATGACTCAGAATCTTGAACCTAGTATGTGCCGTTTTCAAAAGGAAAGGAAAAAGGCCAAAGAAGAGAACTTTCAAAGCTTGTGAGAGTGTCTGTCTCAATGGGGAAAGCTATACCAAAACTTGCCATTGATCAGTGATGTGGCATTAGGAATTAACTTTAGTATGTAAATCAGAATTTGCTGCACCTATAAAATAAAGGAGTGCTGGGCATTTAGCTCAGTGGTTTCAGAGCCTGCCTCACAGGAGCAAGGTCCCAAGTTCGATCCCCAGTCCCAAAATTAATTAATTAATTAATTAAAGGAGTGATATCAGCTGCTCTCTAAATTGTTTCCATCTTCTTTGAAAGTCTGAGATTTTTATGATCACAAGCTGACACGAAACAGTGAGTCAAATAATCTGTTAAATTCAGTGAAAACTTACACCAACTGTTACTTAAGTGAAGCCACTGCAGGGTTTTGCTCTCTAGTTAGTGTAAATATCAACTTCAGTCATCTCCTTTGCTTAACTCCCAACGAGCCTAACTGCTAGAGAACCACTGAGCGCCCACTTCCGTACCTTGTTTGAGCGCAGCGACACCCGGCCTCCACAGCGCGCACAGAACTTGGTTTGGCAATAGGAACAGTTGTGACCACACCCATCGGCAAACTTGGTCTTGTGGCAGATCCCGCAGGTCGGGGCATCACCTTTCTGTTCTTGCTGTTGCTGAGATTCCTCTCCCATCTTCTTCACCTGCTCCTTGTACATTTCAAACTGCTGGTGCAGTTTTCTGAGGGAAACGAAGACGAAAACATTGGTTTGCCTAATGAACTCCAAAAAAGAAAATTACCACAATCTATAAACATAATTTTATAAACAAAAAAGGAGCATAAGGAGCATAAAATTCAATGATATATTTACAGAATGGCATCTAATATGGTACATTACATTGTAAATGTACTGCATTTTGTTCTACCTTCTGATATATATGCTAAGAACCAATTAATGCAATATTTTATGGAGATATTTCTTTGGATAGGAACTCTAAAGTTTCTATCTACCATTTGCAATATATTTTATCATATGCTCTAAAATATCTGTAATATCATTTTTCAACAGCTTAGCCCCAGAAATACAGGAAGGTCATCTGACTTATCCTACGTGGTCAAATCGATGAGACACACTCTCAAGCGAAATGATCTGAAGGGTAGAGGAGCTCTCACTGTTCACATCTACACAGTCTCGGTATAATCTGGGTATTTAAAAAACCGCTGTGAGATAGTTGTTACTACCTAGCCAATGGGGCTATGCAAATAAAAGTGAAACCTAGCTTCATTTTAAAAATAAAAGTTTAAGAAAAATAAATGTTAAAAAAAAATACCACTGACACTAATTGGAAGTAGTAATGCAACTTTTCGTTTCTATTTTCTGTATAAGAAAAATTTTAAATGTTTAAAAACTAAAATTAGTTCAACTTAACATTTAGAAAACTAAATAATGCCACTCCCAGACGAGCAATAACAGCAGGATGAATACTCTACAAAACCACAACTTTCTCGAGCCTGTCAGAGCTGAGGCTCTGAAGGAAAGCAATCTGAAATCCAAAAAGCAACAGATCTCCCCAAGGAACAGTGGGACACGTGGACTGGTTCAGCTTCGCCAAGAATGTAGAGAAGGAAGTGGCCGTCATACTAAGTGGTAAAAGGAAGTCATTTAAAATTTAACAAGACATTAAACAACGCAAAGGGTGGGCTATGGTGAGAGTCTGGAACTACAAGTCCAAATACATGCGATGCCATTTCCACAGGCCGCCACAGGGTGCTCCAGAGGAAGACTGCAACCAAGACAGGAAAACCAGACCAAAAAGAAGCCCTCCTTCCTGGGCGCATACTTGGGCAGGTACAGAGGAGGCGAGAAGGGGCTACTGAGGTGCAGGCACAACTCTGCCAAGTAAACTCCGTCATCCCCAGGCAGAGGCAAAGAGCCGCACCACTGAGGCTGACGGAGCAGACTCTCTTCCCATGAAACCATCTCAAGTGAAGGATCCTACCAGATACAATCGGAGTCTTCTCGTCACGAGCACATGGGACACAGCTCCTGCTCCAACCAACCAGGGGAAGGGCAGACTTGCTTCACAGGACAGGGGGACAGTGAACTCCTAGCCGGCCCCAGGTGCTCAGGGTACAGTGGCACAGCTGGCCGGGCAGGGTCTGCACCAGGTGGCACACGTTTCGGGCAGCATTTTTGGCAAAAGGAAAACGATGTGGTAACAATTTACTCCATGTTATCATAGTGAAGATTGGAAGATTTCAGTACATCAGTAAATAAATGTTACATCTGCAGTTTATGATGCTCTTAAAATGTTTTCTCATTTTTTACTGAATGTGTTCTTCGCAACATTTGTAGTGTTTTATAAAGAATTGTTTTTCTGTGGTTTTTTGGGTCTTCGTTTTTTTGGTACCGGGGATCAAACTCGGGACCTTGCACTTGTGAGGCAGGCGGTGGAACCACTGAGCTACATCTCTGGCCCCTATAAAAAATTATTAAATATTATCATGAACACGCTTATTAGTATTTCCTTTACTCACATTAGTTAGCTGTTATCATAATTTTTATGGACCACAATAAGTTATAAATAACTTAGGGTTGCTTTGAACTATGATGCTAAGCTAAGTTTTCTTACACGTGCGTCTGAACGCGGCAGCGTCCGTAGCCGCGTGACTGCCTGCACACCAGCAGTACGCAGTGGTTTGCACACGCGTCTCCACGACTGCAGCCACTCGGTACAATCCGCGTGTAAGCTCCGTGTGTAAGCAGTCACGCGGTGGAGACGCTGCTGCGTTCAGCCGCTGGGCCGGCGCGGGGCGGAGACAGCGCTTGACCTGGCCCGGCTCCGAGTGGTGCTTCTAGCTGTGAGACGTCGTAGGCGTTTCAGAGCGTAATTACATCAAGCTACTCTTTTAACATAATGAGTAAATCTATGCGAAAGTTATGTGCATTTTCTCTATAGGTCATTTTAATTTTCTACTTTAAGTAACACAGGTTACTGCATTTTATTTAATAAATAACTATAAGAATTATCTACCTTTTTTCCTATGCGTCATTTTAATTTTCTATTTAAATAGGTAAACACAAGGGAGGGCAGGGGAATAGAGAAAAATTAAAAATCAAGATGCATTAGGTGAAGGTACAAAGCTCCCATGATGAATGTCATTATATACCTAGAATGTACTAACAAAATTAATTTTTAAATGGGTCAACATATTCAGATATGTTGGAGGGTAACAAGTGAAGGACCAGCCGGAGCTGCACAAACTCTAGCTCCGCTGGTGCCGGGGTCTGTGACGAAGGGAGGGAAGTCGGAAAAGCAACAGAGAACACTCCTTCCACTCACACAAGGCAAGCATCAGTAGCGCATGGGAAGGTTTAAGGGCACAGGGACAGGCACTCTCCTCACTAAGGCTGCAGGGCAACTAAAACACTGAAACAACTTCTGGTAGTTCAGCACCCACCCAAAATACAACGTGCAGGCCTGTGCCCCTGAAGAATTTCACAACTCTGCTGCACTCAAAATAATGACAGCAACCACAAGATCCCAATATATCGAAAATCCTGACTTGATTGGTGACTTAATCCCCAATACCAACAGCATGCTGTCCATTTCAAAGCATGAATACAATCCAAAACCATGGCACCAGGGGGAAAGGAATAAACAATCCATCATCAAGAGACAGAGTAATTCAATTAGCTTAAGAGGTGCCACAGATGCAGGCATTATCATTTGGGGACTTTAAAATGATTATTAAAGTAAAAGATATAGAGAGACCCAAAAAAAATCCACCAAAAGACTTCTTGACTTAATTGACAATTTTAGCAGAGTAGATGAATACAAGGTCAACACCCAAAAATCAATAGCCTTCTTGTACACAAATAATAGACTCACTGAGTGAGAAATTAGGGAAACAATTCCTTTCACAATAGCACCTAAAAAAATGAAGTATCTAGGAATCAATCTAACAAAAGAAGCAAAAGACCTCTACACTGAAAACTACAGCACTCTGAAAACAGAGATCGAAGAGAATATAAGAAAATGGAAAGATATCCCCTGCTCCTGGGTAGGAAGAATCAACATAGTGAAAATGGCCATACTATCAAAACTGCTATACAGATTCAATGCAATGCCAATTGAAATTCCAACACTATACTTCACAGAACTAAAAAGAAGAATCCAAATATTCATCTGTAACCAGAAGAGGCCTAGAATAGCAAAAGCCATCCTAGGCAACAGAGACATGGCAGCGGGTATAACACTACCCAGTTTGAAACTATACTACAAAGCCACTGTGATAAAAACAGCATGGTACTGGAAAAGAAACATATCTGAGGATCAGAGGAACAGATTGGAAGACACAAAAACAACTCGAGATGTACTCAGCTACGTCATCTTTGACAAAGAAGCTGACCATCCCCACTGAAGGAAAGATAGCCTCTTTAATAAATGGTGTTGGAAAAACTGGATTTCAACCTGCCAAAGATTAAAACTAGACCCTTATCTTTCACCATGCACTAAAGTAAAATCCGAGTGGATTAAAGATCTAAATATTAAAACAGAAACACTAAACTTGCTGGAAGATAAGTTAGGCAGAGCTCTTGAAGACATTGGCATAGGAAAAGACTTTATGAACAAATCCTCAGTAGCGTGGGAACTAGCAGAAAGAATCAACAAGTGAGATCTCATCTTATTAAAAAGCTTCTGCACTGCAAAAGAAACCATCAACAGAAATAAGAAACAACCTACAATGTGGGAAAAAAATTTTACCAGCTGCTCCTCAAAGGACTATTATTGAGAATGTATAAAGAACTCAAAACAACCAGTCCCCCAAATATAAGGACCTGATTCAAAAATGGGCATCTGAAATGAACAGACATTTCTCAGACAAAGAAGTAAAAGCAGCAAGTAAGTATATGAAAAAATGTTCCACATCACTGGTCATTCGAGAGATGCACATGAAAACAACACTGAGATTCTACCCTAAAGAAGATGTGGCTTTTCTAAAAAAGAGAATACTACTCAGCCATAAAGAATGAGAAATTAGAGTCATTCATAGGAAAATGGATACATATTGAGAATATAATCATAAGTGAAATAAATACATCACACATGTAAATACTGAATAGTTTCTCTGATGTGAAAAACTATAATAGTACACAAGGTCCTAATGGGATAATTAATAGTGTGAAATAGGAAGAAAAGGGCTAAAGGTATAGGGATCAGCCATAAAGAATGAGAAATTAGAGTCATTCATAGGAAAATGGATACATATTGAGAATATAATCATAAGTGAAATAAATACATCACACATGTAAATACTGAATAGTTTCTCTGATGTGAAAAACTATAATAGTACACAAGGTCCTAATGGGATAATTAATAGTGTGAAATAGGAAGAAAAGGGCTAAAGGTATAGGGAAAGTGGGAAGGGTAGGGGAAAGTGAATAAGGGAAAAGAAGAAAATATGAGAAAATGAAAAAATGGAAATAAAGTGTTTGTAAATGGGGAGAGGAGAAGGGGGTGAAGGGAGGGCATGGACAAGGGGAAAAAATGAGAACCAAGACCTGTCATGTGAAGGTACAGGATCCCAGTAATGAATATAACTGTATTGTATACCTAAATTGTACCAATAAACTCAATAAAAAAACATATATAGAGAAAAGTGCATAACATACACGAACAAATAAGGAATTAGAGCAGAAAATGCAAACTAAAAAAATCAAACAGAAATTTGGAAT